AGATGAATGGCCGGCCGCCGCGAGACGGGCCGCCTCGGGGCCCGGAAAACGCCGCCCCCCCCACCCCACCGCGGAGGAAGCCGCGCCGAGAGGTCGATACGGGCGGGGATTAACCGTTTAATTGGAGGCGGCGCGCTCTCGCCCAGGGCCCGGCAACTCTCCATCAAAACTGGGGACAAAGCTAGAGGTTGCTACTATAGGAAGCGATAGTGTCGCCGGGTGCAGCTGCAGGTTAGGCTCGCCAAGTTTCCCACATACAAATTGGCTAATTTGTGAGAAATACGAATCGTGTATTATAAATGTACTATTATTCATAATCTATACTTATAAGAAACCTCTGAAGAATACGCGAACATAGACGTTATCTTTTGCAACATTATGGGTCTGCTTGCGACTTGCGTTACGGCGGCGCGACGCCTCTCTCGCCACGACGGTGGGCGCGAAGGACACGGCGATACGGGAGGAAAAGTGAGAGGGATTGCCGGATTCAATAAAGTGCCTCTGACCTCTTTGAGGTTTTTCGGAAGTAATGAATTTTAAGTTTAAGAGGTTATTTTAGTTTTCCGAGTAAGTCAATTCAGAAGCGATTTATGGATATTTATAATTTAAGAGTCAATATTTGTTTTGAAAACTCATTTGTTTCAAAGGGCATTGGAAATGCAGTGGAATGCTCTAGTGTTTCAAAGGGAAATATTGTCATTTGAACTATTTATTGAGTTTCATTGAACTTCATTTACAGCTGACACATAATGAAAATATTTTCAATTACTTTTAGACAGAAAATGAACATCATAAAACACAGAAATGTTATTTTCGCCAATTACCTCAATACCGAAAATTATCAATGCAAATATTACGTCATGATTTTCGCGTATTATTTGCAGTAATGTCATTATCACTTTTCAAAAACAGTTGCCGTTTAATGATTATTTCGTTTTACCAGCGCGTCAATGATTATGGTCAGTAGTCCTGTAAATATAGTTCATGTTTTATCATGGGAGGTAGCGGTATTTTTCCCCCGCTAGGTGATAAGATATGGCGCCTACCTATACACTGGATTGCAGGGTTTCCCTCCTCGAGTTATCTCACACCAGCTTAGCACCGCCTCTGTTGGGACAAGCTCGAAGCTCCTGATTGGTCTCCCAACAAGTGTGGTAGTGTAGTGCATGTCAGTGTGAGTGAGTGAGGGGGAAGATAGGATAAGGAAGAGGAAGGAAAGATTGCGAGCGGTCTGTGGCCCGTTTGTTAAGGTACTGCTCCGGCATTCGCCTGGTATTGACAAAAAAAAACACGGAAAACTACAGATCAGGACACCCATTGCTAGAACTTTCCTCTAGGAAGCGGTTGAATTCGACCTAGTACTCGGTAGTGTCGAAAATTCTGCTGTCGGGAATCAAACCAGTTGCCGGTTGATGTGTGTAACACGCTGTGACATTACGAATGCTCAGGTGGCGAAGTGACGGCTACAAGCTCGAGCTTAGAGCGGGACGGATACTGTTAAGTATTCCTCTCCCTTCTTTTATTTACGAAATGCCTGCGCAGCATCTCAAAAAACGGGCCACGCGCCTTTGATGTCCTTTTGCCCTTACTGTGCATGAGCTGGCTCCCGGGCGAGACGCTTCGACTGGGCTTGCTGCGCGGCACGGAGCAGGACGGGGCGGCGCTCTGGTTTTATCATTCTGACGGACGGAATTAATTGAACTTACTCTGAAAGGGCCCCCGCCGGCCGGCGGCGGGTGGACTCGAGTTAAATAAGCTTATAGAAATGAGGCGCACCAATTATTTTAAAATAACCCACTCCGCTCACGTCCACTCAATATTTAAAGCGCCGAATTAACGATAACCCAGTAAGAAGCTTTTCTTATTCGGCTAATGTGAAACTAATGGTATACTTAATAGATCGGGCGCCCATTACGCGCCCTTCCTTTTTTTTGGGGCCGCCGGCGCCGCGGGGGGAGGGGGGGGACGGAGAAGAGGTCCCGACCGAGGCTAATGAAGCTCGTGATAAGCTTGGTCCGACTCGCCGGGAGTCGGCTGTCCAATGACGGCTCCAAGCGCCGGAAATACATTTCCTGCTTGTGTCGCGAGGGATTATGGGTTCGGTGAGGGAATTAATGAGCGGATTTCGTTTGCGGAAAGGAGATTTTTGTTTGAGAATGCGGGGTTTATGTGATACTCCTAATTCGATTCTACAGAACAGACAAAGCGAGACAAACTGTTTCTTCAGACGAATGATGTATGTATAATTCGATGTTCTGCCTGCTGGTAAAAGTTAAGGAGCTCCCGAGATCTGATGAATTACCTAGGCGTAGGGCGACCTGCAAAGATCTTGACACTTAAACTTTAAGCTTGTCATTTAGACGAATAATATCAGACTTTCCAATGTTTACGTAAAACAATGGCGATGAAGACAATGTTAATTAAACCTTAGTGAATCTGAAAAACATAATGTGATGACCACAGACGTCTAATTCTGAAAAAAAACGTAGTTTAACCTTGAGCGTTCTAGGCCAATGTAAACATACGATATTTTAGGGAACATAGTATCAATTTACGTAATTTTCCAGTTATAAGACTTCTTGCTTTATGGATGAAATTGTTTAAAGTAACGAAAAAGAGAAAAATACATTTAATAAAAAGTTAATAAACATAATTATAAACGTTTTGTTTACTGTAAAAAAAGTTATCTACAGAACATATATTTTCACCATACCTGCGATTTATTAAAAACGTTAATCTGAAGTCTTCAATATTGCAATCTGGTCCTAATGTGAAATAACAGATGCCATACTGTAAAAAAATAGAAAAATATATTTTAGTTAATGTGTTGATAGCCAATTATGGATCATTGTTACTGTTATAACTATTCTCACTTAACATTGTAGGAGCATCTGACATTCATGGTAGGCCGTGCTAAAATCAAATACACTTTTAATTTAGTTCACTGTTCTCTAATAATGGTTGTGTATTGAATTTTTATCTGCAAACCCCTAACTTCTATAATAAATATATAGCGCTAGAAAACTTTCAGCAATTTAAGGTTTGAACGTTTTCCCACCAGCTAAGGCAAGATTTCCGCTACAGAGGCAAATGACAAGAAGAATCGAGCTAGTACAAATGTACGATCTGGAGAATACGTACACTATCTCGAGAGTAGCCAATTATACCGAGACAGGTATAAAAATATGAAGATATAAAAATATGTAAATAACATTATAACCAAAAGTGAAAATTGGCTTCTCTTGCCTCTTATCTCGTGCCTGGAGCCCGCTTTTGCATCCCCGCTCAGTCGAGAGTGGAGGTCTGTGGCGGGCGGCGGTGCACGTTCTGTAATTAGGGCGACAGCGGGTCCAACAAGCGACGGGGGTGGGGGAAGGGCGGGAGGAGACGTGACATTCTCCACGGGGGCTTAACGCGGCCTGCGGGAGGAAAGGGTAGGCCCACCGCTCTCCGGGTTAAAAGCATCCCCCTGTAGCCACAGGGTGATCCCCAAGCCTCGCCCTCCCTGCCAGACACGCGTGGCTACTCGTGGGGGAAGGCTCACAAGGAGCTATTTTGAAATGTTCAATTAACGGCGTGGCGAGTGATAGCCAAATGAAAGGAAGAGTATCTCGAACGGAAAATGTTTTTGAGATACCGTCAAATGGTTCACTTATGTGTCGAAGTTATTAAGTGACAATGGGTCTCTCTTTTGGACTCCATCCTTATCTAAAACAATACCCATATTCTCTTATAACAAAAATCTGGTTAAATCCATTACTTTTCGCCTATGAGCAAATCAAGAGCATGATGCGCATAATTGCACCATTTTGCCGTTCCTCAAATACTTCGGGGACTTGTTGAATGAATAAATATAATTTAATAAGAATTTTCTGTTCTAACGTACTTCTACGTTTTAAATAAATGATTGTTGAGTTTCTAATATCTGAAAATGTCGAAATTCTATAGAATATGCGATTTCTTAATCTGGCTCTGAAACTGGAGAACAGAACATCATAGTTGTACGCTCATTCCCTATTACCTCCCTAAACGATATTTCTTAGTAATGCAGGATAGTTTCTCTATCTTAAATAAAACTTGAACAACCAATTTTGTGGATGCCGGTGTTTGTGTCGTTATGAACGCCTTTGTAGGTTTCAGGGATTCACAATTCTTGAAGCAGCTCCGACTCTTACACGTAAAGAGAAGAGCATTTGAACGTAATTTATTTTTTTAATTACACATTTGCATAATTAATTTTTTTAAATCTTTGTTTGTTCGGGTTCTGGAAAAACAGGATGAATAAGATTTGAAATAAAGTGCTTTGGATTCTTCATAGCTCTCTTTATTCGACAACATTCGTGAAACTACACACAGACAGCACATTAGTGCACTGATACATTTCATGACCAGAATACAAAACAGCCACACATGCACTGTTCAGTGTAAGTAGCGATGTCTACGAAGCTTTGCATGTTAAAAGCGAATCTTTGCGCAAAGCCGTTAAAACAACTAAATAATCTGCTCTCATGAATACGAACAGAACTTAAGAACGTTCGCTTACTGCATTAATATTAAGTACGAACAACAATGACTAAATCATATCAGTTTTATGGCTGATTGTGGCTATAATGAACTAGCTCAAAATCTTACAAAATACAAAACTGAACAACACCAATAGACGCCGTCTAAATGCAAAGTGATTGTATAAAGTTTAAATTTTTGCCATTTTGTAGGTTTTGTTTGAAAAAATTTCTGTCAAGAGAAAACAAGAAAATATAATTTTTAATTTCACTTTCTTGAAGAATGTATACCAATTGTTATTGCATTTCTTCATTATTAGCAAATTTTCACGTTGCATTTCATATTTATACTCTTTCAATCAATCAAATATGCACAAAACAGCTGGTGCATTTAATAAATCCGTAGTTTATTCTTAAAATTATCAGAATTTCATAATTATGATTTTATTAAATTTATTCAATACACATACAGTTTTTTCATATTTATTTTATTATCAGAAGCTAGGTATATCGTTCACTTATCACAATCAAAATTTGAACATTGCACATGGTTGCTCGTAATCTCAATAGCTCGGAAACTACGTTCGTAATACATATTATCACAAACTCAGGATGCTTATGGGTTAAAATGTGGTTGCTTGAACATGCAGAACAAATATCTTGTTTTATTAGAAAAATATTACTAAAAATATTTTAAGAATTTCATTTTAAACTCATAAAAGTTCAAAAACAATTATATATATAAAATCTCTCGAGGATCTTGATATTTTACATAAACTCCAGTGTTTTTTGATATCAATAGTAATAAGTGTATATTTTAAAACATTTTATATTCAACAGTATGTCACGTATATTCCGTAATTGAACTAGGAGTTGACATCGGCCACTTTTTAGATATTGAAAATTAAAAGAATCTGGAAATGCATTTTCCAGAATTAAAGCGGTCAGGAGCTTTTCCGTTAACAAAGTATTGATAAACGTATTAAAAATTCCGTGTATGTGAATGTCACTGCAAAGTTAATTGTTCACAAACTATTTTCCTTTCGTCCAAATACAGGAGGCGTAATCGTTTATTGTGGCATAGTAATTTAACAAAACATTGCGTTATCTTTTCGAATTTATTTCGTTGAGGCATAATTTGCCCCGTAGTACTAACAGCAATATCAAAGTTTGAGTGTCTCCCTTCACACGGAGCCACTCATCACCTTGCTGTAAAGCAGCTTCACAACAGCATGCGCTACTGAGTCAACTTCGCAACAGCATGCGCCACTATGGAAGCGCCACTGAGCTAAGCTGTTGCTTCGAGCTTCTCGGTGGCGCTGCCGGGTGGCTCCTCTATCAGTCTATCAGAACCTGCAGATCACCGGCATAAAACCCTGTTGCAAACGGTCACACAATAAAATTACAATTGAGGCAGATGAACATTTTCTACTTGTTCAAAATTGTCTTTAAATATCGACATTAAAATGATAAAGCGTCTGCAAAGAACTCATATTTTTGTTCATGAATTTCATTAAAGATAAATATAAAATTAAGTTTTGAATGTAGTTGTAGATTCAAACAAATTCTTAGTGTGAAAATATTTACCAATTTCTTAATTAGTATCTAAAACGCCCATTACAATACAAATTTAAACTTGTTTTATTTTTAAAGAGAGTATCCTTTGTGGTACAGCGAATCTGACCATTTTCAGGCATTGCACTACATTTTAAGCTTCAAAATAGACTTGAGATCCTTTCGCGCGTGTGTGAACAGAATAAAAATGTATAAATTGAACAATGCACGCAGGAGACTTTCTCAGATAATACAAGGAAAAAAAACAACAATCCATAAAGCCACAGTCCGTTTTCCGGGCAAAAGGTAATTTTCCTACTTTTATGCCGCTTCGCTTGCCTCCGACCGTTGCCACCCTACGGAGCGAGTGGGTGAATGATGTTTGGATTCCATAGCGTTTGGAGCGCGGCGCCGCTCTGGGCCCGTGGCAGAGGCATGCCGCAGGTACCGTGGGATCGGCCTGACCCTGTGGCGGCGCGGGCAAAGAGCGTTCGCACGGGCCAATGGGGAGTGGGGGCGCTGGGACGCGCTGGACCGTCAAGCTCTGAATGTGTCGCTAATCGGACAGAACGGCTGGATCGCCGGAACAGTGAGCCTAACGGAAAACTTCGTCGCTGTTCTTTTTTTTTCGATTGGCGATCAAAACATGCCCATGCAGAATCTTTCAGAAGAGATTTTTGAGTTGTTTTGATGGTATTCGACAGCCTGATTGGTTGGTATTATGGTGTGAATACTTTGTTGGATTCATTTCGCGTATTTTTCACTTGCACCTGTTTTTGTATGATTAGTAGAAACGAATTTATGTTTTAGAATTGTATCGTATTATTCTGTACAAAACATATTACCTAACAAAGCTTCTCGTATTCTCGTAGTTTGTCTTATTACTGAAGGATATGCCATATAACGTGCAGTACTTTATAGTGATAAGGCGAATTAAATATATTTCAAATGGATTTTAATATAAGATACTATTTGTCTTTTATAATTCACTTATCAAATATTTGACATTTTGCTCTGAAATGTTTTCGAAGATACCATAAAGGACTGATTTCAAAATATATTTTACCAACGCCATTTCGTAACTTATTAGTTTAAATGTTATCTGCACAAATATTTTTGGCTGCTTTATTTTATTAGTCGGATAAACAATGTAATAAAACGAACAGCTTCGAGGAGTTCTGAAGTGCTCTTCTTAATCTGAAAGGCAATTTAAAACTAATCTGTTCAGAGCAATACAACTTTCTGTAATAGGGAGAAGACGAGTATCAAACTGGCTTCACAAAGAGAGAACATTCAGAGAAAAATGTCAGATGCAGGAGAATCAGTGACATTATCAGAGAAAATCTCAGAAGCATTTTTTACCCTTTAACATTATCAGGGCACTTAATTAACAAGAATGGATCAAATAATTAACAGCCTCGTTGAGATCTCATAGGATGTTTTACTTAAATCTAACATTGTATCAGAGGTCCAAAATGAGAGTCTGGAATACAATGATGGCAACATTAATTAACAAAAGAGATGTTCCTTCCAGCAGATAAGCCTCTAGATGACAGCAGATGCTTTTGTATTCGACTGTGGTTCGTGACGGCGATCCACTCAAAAACCAAATTTCACAATTGCACTCGCAGATAAGTAATTTTTCACTTCGCGAGAAAGTGAGAGTATGCAATTTAAGTCTGCTAAAGTTTTTTGTCGCTTATTAAATCTAGAGAAAAGCAACAAAATAATACATGAAGTAAAATATGTGATTCACACGAGTTGCAAACGGTTGATAATGCACATCACACAGTTTGTTGAATCTGTTAAGCCAACAACTGATGCAATGTACATAAGTTCTTGGATATTTTATTTGATTGGGTTTGTTTAGTTTTTTTACAGTCGCGTTTCACTTTTTATCGACGTTCATTATTGACACATGGACATGAAGGCGTAATGTAGTATTTGTAAATTTACGAAAATATCTCAAATGGTCTATTTACGAATTACGTTGATGCTCATGTCAAAGACGAACACAGACAAATCGCACCTTGGTCAGTTTTTCACATTGTTCTAAAAAACAAAACATTTGTCATTAGATAGCACCCATTCAGCATATTTGTAACACTAAACCTTACGAAAAGGTTTAAAAAAACAGGAACTCTTAACATTATCTCTTGAGAAGGAACAATCATGCATGCGCTAATCTACAACTCTTCTCCCAGAGAGTTCTACTTTAAACAACTGCAAGGGAACAGGAGGATAGCTAGGAGATTTGCGACTTCACATTCTGCAGAGTTTATTTGCTCGTGTCACGAGGATCGTCGATGTTTCTTTCTCTTCTACTTCCTGTTTTCATTCTTCCTCGTCGGCGTTTCTTCGCGGGAGTTCCCCACGGGGGAATTCGAGGATCATCCTTGTTTCTTGTTCTTTCCTTTCTTCCTTCCTTGTTGGGTTTCTTCGCGAAAGCATCGTCGCCTCGGCCATGGCAGAATCCGAGGATGGTCGATGCTTCTTCTCCCATCCTTCCTTGTTGGCGTTTCCTCGCTGAAGCATCGTCGCCTCGGAATCCGAGGATTATCGCTGTTTCTTCTTATCCCTTCCTCCCGTGTTGTCGTCCCATCGCCGCGGCGCGGGGGAACCCCCGGCGTGCGCGTCAGGTGTCGAGGCTGCACTTGCCGCGTCCTTCCTCGAGCGCGGCCGCGCGCACCATGGCCCAGTGGTGCAGCTGCGGGGCGCAGGCGAGAGCGGGCTGCCCCAGCTGCAGGCGCCCCAGGAACAGGAACTCGCCCGGGCCGTGCGCCGCGCCGCAGCGCGCCGGCAGCACCAGCGTCGCTCGCCACCGGTGCGGCTCCCCGCCCTGCACACACACAAACACATTCACTACCATCACCATTCATGTACTCCAAGGGATATGAACTTAATTAAAAAAAAATATTACCATTCATGTACTTCAACGGAGATTAACTTAATTTTTAAAAAATATTACCATTCATGTACTCCAACGGAGATTAACTTAAATTTAAAAAAAAGTATGGCTCTGTTCTGAGTGAGTGAGTGAGTGGCGCAAGGCTCTGTTCTGAGTTGGGGGCGTGAACTACTTGTATTATTTGTTCAGCAAATGTAGTGTGTGTCTTATTCCAGTACCCCTCGTTGAAACGTGAGATCCGTTGCTGAAATACACGTCTGATTGCGGGTTTCCCATATCACTAGGTGTCTCTTGTCCCAGTGGGGCATCGCTCCAACCGGGTCAAGTTCTAAGCTTTCGACTGATATCTCGGGAAGTGTAGTCGCTGTATGGGTATGAGTGTGCCTGTCTGTGTTTGAAAGACAGAAACAGACAGAGGGAGCTGTCCGACAGAGACACAGTGAGTAAATTACATGTGGCACATGTCACGGAAATTTAAATGTATAAGTACAACTGAGGTGACAAAGTTACTTGCGTTAGAATTGACTTTTCCAAATCAATGTTTGCTAATTCCCTCTGTTGTGTGGGGATATCTTTTTTTTATGTGGAGTTTTAATGTGTTGAATCCGCCAAAGTAATGTTGTCTTTACCAATAAGATTTATTGCTTATATGGAAATTATTTCACCCATTTTATACTTATCAGATCCGTACGCTGTCCCTTTGATCCATAAATGCAGCATATTGTAGAAGCGGTTACTCAAAGGTCATTAGGATCCTCTAATGAAGCAACTGAGGTACCACTACCGATCAGATGATTCATACCCCAATAGAAGAGGGTCGTTTATGATTTCTTTTGTTATTACGACCCACACTCACTTCAGTTTTTACTTCCGTGTATCTTCTTATGAATTTAACTATTGCAGTATTATTAGCATATTATCAAACACATTATTGCAAAGGCATAAATATTCTAGAAATTAAAAAAAATCGAATAGCAAAACTTACCGGATGTGTTATGAGATTTACTTTGGCCTTGCGTACTTTCTAAATTCGAATCGAAATCGTTATGCTCGCGTCTAGTAGAAAACTTGCACCTCGCGTCCAACAACGCTGAGCCGAATGGGTTATGAGTTCGAGCTTCAAGAAAAAAAATGTTGCCGTTTATAACGGTGACCTACCGTGATCGGAGTCAAATACGAGTTTGTCTGTCAGGGAATCCCACGTTCTTGACGTCAGTTGAAAAGTTTCGGCCGCCATGTAGTTACTACGACTTTCGCATTTCGCCCTTAGTGAAGCTCGCAGTATGACTTTCCCAACCCTTACAAATGTGCCTGTGAATGGTGGTCCTACGCGACTGTCCAGAACCCCGGTGTTCGAACACGCGCTTTGAGGCATTGATTGCTTATCTCATTCTACTACCATCGCGTCCACTTGGATTAATCATTTTCGTTCATTATCATTTCATATTTTCAGGCAGTGTTTCGAGTACCGGGCAGTGACGCGATTTTTCGATACTAGCTGGGGTCGAATTCAGTCGCTTCTTGAGAGAATTCTAGCGTTCTGGCTGCACTAATCGTAGTTTCTCTGATCAGTAATTAAGGCGAATGCCGGAAGTTAAGTACCGTAACAAAGGGCATGAACCGCGTTGCTGGATCATTCCTTCCACTGCCTTGGTCCTATCATTTACGAACACACACGCAGTACACTTACTACACCTGTCGTAAGTTGAGAGATTTGGCTCAGACTGGGGTGTGGCAAGGGGGCTGTGATGGAGAGTGGAAATGCCCGACATCGACATATAGAATGGTAATGACATCAACGATACACTTATACTAACGACTAATGGACAGTTGCGACGTCACTTCCCCGGAAAATAAATCAATCCTCAATCCATAACATATATCATCATATCACTTTTATGATGAACCCTTCCATTCTCATTATAGAAGAAGCAGTCCAAGTTAATGTGCGAACTACAGACGTGACCATAAGGCATATGCCCCTCGCTGGCCCGGCGCTCAAGAATAGTACTACCTTTCCTCCCCACGGAATCTGACGCTGCTGTGTCAGAGGAAGTGTCCCGTCTGAGTGGGTCAGTGTTTGGCGTTCTGCGCGGTGACAGACGATTGATTCTGCAGATGGAAACGGTCTATCAGTAAACGGACAGCGGCAGACACTTACGTGACTGCTTAAAGGAAGCGGAAGAGATAAAAAGCTGCTCACGTTAGAGCCTATGTCCTGATATTAAAAGAGATGTTTAAAAAGGAACATTAGCATTTCTTCACTTCGCTAAGCGGATTGGTTCATCTTTTGCAGAAATTATCAGCAACAGATTTTGCCTATTTTTTCTAAAATTTTCATAATTTTCTGGTTGATGTCTCAGCTGCTGTACTTTAGTTGTGAAAGTTTTCCATAGTGGTTGGTGCGTTCATAGCATTTCCGAGAGTAATTTTCAACGTCGTGTCCGTCTAGCACAGTTCAGCGAAGAATTCAAGATCATTGATACTTTCTGTTTCTGATCAGCATCAAACTTTAAAAGTGTTCACAGAGTGCGTTGGACGACAGAGAAATCCTTAGATTGCTTAGCGCTCTAGTCAAAGTGTTTGATATATTCGGTGGTAAAAGCATCGTGTTCGCTATGAAAACTCTTTCGGCCGGAAGAGAGTAGTTTTTTAGGGATAGCAAACAAGACATGTATATTTTACTAACATCGATATTTTCCAGCAGAATACACTATATTATAGCATCATTGTTTTGGCTGTTCCACGTTTTCTTCTTATCAATTAATATTTGGTCCAGAAATATCGAAACGTTTCACAAAATCTCATGAAATAAATAAAATTACCAGTTTCTAGTTTATTTGTGGTTTGCATCGAAATCAACAAACCATTGACAACTTGTCACTGTTTGTCGACCAGCTGGCGGCACGAAACCGTTTTGCTACTTCACAAACTTTCTCTAGTGGTTGTTACCTGTTCTTGATTAATTTTGGACTTGGTAATACGTTTAAACTGCAATTTGAACATGTTACAATTGAACATCGGTTAGAAAATTAAGATGACAGTAGAATTATTTTTATAAACTAATATAGACTGTTTTGTATCACATTAAAACTGGGGACTGTTACTACCATCGAAATTATTTTAAATTTATATTTAATTAGATTAATTTTTCTTTTATTCTTATATTTAAACACTACATATTTTAAACCTTCGGATGTTTTTGTCGATGGTTTTTATAAGCATCGAAAACTTTTGTGATATCATGTTTTGCATAAAAACTTCGAATGACTTCTTTGTTGATGTAATCGTCATCATCCCAAATCGTTTTGGTGTGTATTGATGTTTTGCTAAAACTTCCGAATGACTTTTTGTGTGGTGTTTTCCGTGATCATGGAAAACCTTTTGGTGATATATCGATTGTTGGTTGCCTAAAACCTTCGATACCTTGTTGATGTTTCGTCATTTTCATGGAAAACCCCTTGGTGAATGTGTATACTGGTGTTTTGCTACAAACATTCGATGATTTTTGTGGATAGTTCCTATTGACATCGAAATCCTTTGGTGTTTCCTAACGCGTGCCTGCCGCGTGGTGTGTTGCCAAGTGGCGCGCGAGATGTGTGGAGGCAGTGCGCATCGCAGCCCGGGCGCGCGCACAGCCAGGATGGATCGTGGTGGCCAACGCCGATATGGCTTGCGCCAGGCGGCGCCCGTCTTCACCGCTCCGTCACGCCGCCTCGCCAAGGTAAGCAGCCGCGCACGCGCTTCCGCCCTGCTCCATGGGGCGAGGCGTCAACGTCGCATTCGTGGAGAGTGCGCTTTGCTCCATTGGAATGTATCCGGATTACCAATTTCCCGTGCACTAGCAGTTGGAAAGAACAGTTGACAGGGACTTCTTGTCAACAACCAATCTCTCTCTTTCGCACTTGTACTCACTCCCTCTCTCACACCCGCTCTCGTCGGACCCACTCACTCTCGCTACTCTCTCGTCTCAACTCACTGGCACTCACTCTCACTCATTGTCACTCACTCTTACTCATTCCTCTCAATTCACTTCACTTGTACTTACTCCCTCATCATTCCCTCCCTCTCAATTCTCTTTTCTCACTGACTTCACTTCTCTCTCCACTCGCTCTCTCCAACTCCTCTCTCTCACTCCCTCTCTCTCACTCCTCTCTCTCAACTCCCTCTCTCTCACTCCCTCTCTCTCACTCCCTCTCTCTCACTACCCCTCACTCTACTCCCTCTCTCTCACTCCCTCTCTCTCACTCCCCTCTCTCTCACTCCTCTCTCTCCACTCCCTCTCTCTCAACTCCCTCTCTCTCACTCCTCCTCTCTCACTCCCCTCGTCTCACTCCCTCTCTCTCACTCCCTCCTCTCACTCCCTCTCTCGCACTCCCTCTCCTCTCATCCCTCTCTCTCACTCCCTCACTCCCCTCACTCCCATCTCACTCCTCCCATCTCACTCCCTCCTTCTCACTCCCACCTCTCACTCCCACCCTCTCACTCACTCCCTCTCACTCACTCAACTCACTCTCACCCACTTCTCACTCTCTA